GGGGGGGGGGGTGTCAGATCCACAGAGGGGAGGGGCCGCGGTCTGCCTGGCAGGTGTGTCATCTGGTCAGAGGTCAGGGGGTGAGAGCGAAGATAAATGGTTTTTTCAGTCTGAAGAAAAATTGATCTAGTTACCCTGGGGCTTTAGCCTCTTTCCGAGAGAGAAAAAACAGGTATAGAAACCTATGCCTATCCTCAGGAGGTCTGTCTGTTCAAGGTGATGAGCCTCTCTTCTTCTAGAATGTGAAAGCACCTGGGACTAGGCCATGACCAAGGAGGAAGGCAATCCAGGCATGGCAGCAGGATGGGGGCAGTTTGGCAGATGGGAGATTGGTGCTGACAGAGCTCTCGGATTTCCCTAGCCCACACTAGGTGGTTGCCTCAGATCAGTACCATCAGCACATGCTGGAGTGGCTAAGGAAGGCATCCTGAAGGAAGCCCCAGCAGTTGAGGGGAAGGGGAGAGCATTCTAATGGCACCAGCAAAGTTGTGATGGTGGGAGGGGACACTGAGGCAGGTGGGAGGTGGCCCGAGGCCGAGGTGTAGCCTGCCAGGTCAGAGAATGGCACACTGAGGCTCCTTCCTGGTTCTCCACACACTCTTGCACAGGCCAGATGAGCAAAACTTCCCCAGGGCAACAGAACGGAACAGCCTCGTCATGGAAGGCCCTCCCGGATCAGGACCTTTCCGGCCGGTGGGAGGACTCAGAGAGGAAGCGGAAACACCTTCCTGACCGGTGGGACCCTGGGCATCTGGGATAGGGGGAGAAGGCAAGGCTGTGGAAGTGTTCTAGCAGTCAGAGAAGGCTTCCGGGGCAAGGCAGGCACATAGAAGGAACTGGGGACGGCATTCTGGGTGCGTGTCACAGCCGCAGAGGTGGGGGGACCGGAACGTGCGTCTGAGCAGCTAAGCCTCGCATTGGCCCCTTTCCACAGACAGGAGGAGCCTGCAGCCAAGAGTGAGAAGGCCGGCCCCCGGGGCCAGCACTGGTTGCACAGGGACCTGCGCGTGCGCTTTGTGGACGGGCAGCACAAGGGCGGCCAGTATTACAACACCAAGGTGGGAACCCTGCAACCTGGTGCCCCCTCCGCCCCCAGGGACTAGGACCCCGTAACTCTAACGTTCTCACACCCCCTGGCCCTCTACCCAGATGACGATTGAAGATGTCCTCAGCCCAGATACCTGTGTGTGTAGGACAGACGAAGGCCGGATCCTGGAAGGTGAGTGTGAGGGATGACCACTGGGTCGTCACCATCCCGGAGGCCGAGTGGGAAGGCTGTCTTTGACCAAGAGGCTGGCGTGGGCAAAGGCTGGGAGGTTGGGCAGAGTTCAGGTATTTTGCAAGGCCCAGAATCTTCTGACAGAACCTGAGGCGCTTCTGTGATGGTGATTATCTGAGCCCCTCTTTCCCCATGAGCGAGTACTGGCATAAAAATGAGCTCTTTCTCCCTCTGAGGACCGGGCCTCGTACGGATGTGTACGGAACTCCCCATGCAGGGCAGGCAGGTGACACGCCCATAGTAAACGGGATTAGTTGCCATCACCCACCATCTTTGTGCATAAGTGCTCCCTTTCTTATCGTTATTTCTAGGAACTGCTCCTTAGGTGTCCTTGCCTGTGAAATGGGGTGCTGGGACCCCTACCTGTCAACAGGGTGCAGGGTGGCTCTGGGCAATACAGGAAAGGCCTTCTGACAGGACCCTGGGTGGACTGGCCCTGGCCGAGGGCCTCACTCACTCCCCTTTGCTCATCTGCAGGCATAAAGGAAGGCATGCTGGAGACCCTGGTCCCCAAGGTCGAGGGGAACCGGGTGATGGTGGTGCTGGGGCCACAGGCTGGAAGGGTGAGTCTCAGACCTGGGCGTGGGTGGGCAGGGGCCATGCAGGGGCTGTCCCAGCGTCCGGGTTGGCCTTGCTGACTCTACCCGCCACTACTCCAGGTGGGCCACCTGCTGGGCCGGGACACAGAACGGAGCCGGGCTCTGGTGCAGCTGCGGAGAGAGAATCAGCTGGTGGAGCTTCACTATGATGCTGTCTGCCAGTACGTGGGCCCCAGGGACTCTGATGAAGACTGACCCGCGGCCCCACTCCCACCCCCACCCCACCATCCCCGGCCTGCTGCCGGCTCTGTACAGTGTGAAAAGCCTGTCTTCGCAGAGGTGGGGAGGTCACCATTCCGCCGTCTGCTTGCACTGCAGCTCCAGGACAAGGAGAGGGACAGGGCACGAGATAGACGGACCAGAAGGGAGGCTCGAAACAAACTGAGTATTTTCCAGAAGTTAGTGTGTAATAAAAATCATTTCCCAAACTTAGCAGAATGATGAGATCATAAATGTGTGCTGAGCTGAGTGGAAGTGGGAGCTGGGCTGACTGAGGTGGGAGCCATTCCGGGCTTCAGCCCCACGGCCCTGTAGGGGCCGACAGACAAGTCAAAGGATCCACCTGCTCACGAGCTCATTCTTGGAACACCGAAGCTATGAAGTGTGTCCCTTGAGCAGATACTACGGAGCCTGGAATGCCGCATCTCTGCACAACTTTCTGAGTGAGAATCCCAACAGTGGCTCTGCTTTTACTCTTGGCCCAGATCAGATACCTCGCGCCGGTGACGAGAGTCCAGAGGAAAGGGAGGCTTCTACCCACAAATAGGCTATGTTTGTGCTACCTCCCAGAGTGGCCAGTTAATTTTGGGGCCCCCATTTTAGGCTCCAAACTTTGGCTTGACGGTAAAAAAGTTTTGTGTGTCCCGGGTAGAATTTCTCTGATTCCTCCAGGTAACTGGACTCTCAGAAAGGTTATTGTCAGACAGTCCTTAAACTTTTTCCTATTTAATGGGCTGAGATAGAAAAGCAGCAAGGGAAGCCAGAGCTTTAGGCACAATTGCTTCTAAATTATCCCCAGTCACTAAGTTGTTGATGTAATAAATGGTGTATGAGCTAGATCTATACCCCCCAGTATAAATTCATGACATGTCAGAACATGGCACAGCACTGGAGAATTTTTTTTTAAATAACTGAATTATCGCATTGAAATTCTTACAACTCTTTTTTTCTGATTAAATCTTTAAAAAATTGTTTTTAATTGTTGAAGTATAATTGACATACAATGTTATCTTAGTTTCAGGTGTACAGTATAGTGATTTGACAATTCTGTACGTGACGCCATGCCCACCATGCGAAGTGTACTCACCAGACAATGTTATTACGACGTTATTGACTCCCTTCTCTATGGTGTACCACATCTCCCTGACTTACTTACTTTCTTACTTACTTATTTGTTTGTTTGTTTGTTTATTTATTTGGTAACTGGGAATTTGTACCTCTTAATCCCCTTCACCTATTTTGCCCATCCCCCTCCTCTTTGGCAAACATCCCCTAGAGCAGAATAATAAAGCTAAGCTGCTGTCCCTGCCAAGCAGAGGCAGACTGCTGTTTTGAGCCAAAATTGAGCCAATACAGAAAAACAGTGAGTTGCCCAATTCAGTGGCCATATGCCGAGTAAGGTAAGGGATGATCAGAAAACCTTCCAGTCTCATACCCCATTGTGAAGTACACTTGCAAAGACCAATTTTATGGATTTCCTGGTTTGTCATCCCTAATTAATTCCAGAACTCATCTGTTTTCAAGATTGGCCTAGCAGGGTGGTTAAGGCAGACAGCAGAGGACAAACCCCCACCCCCAGTTGCTCCAGTTCCTGAGTTGTAGTGCTGATTGTCCACACTGCCCCCGGACTCCCCGGCTGGGTTATATTTTTCATGTTGTGGGGAAGGAATGTCACGCCTTCTCAAGGTTCCCAATCTAACATGTCCAGTAGTCTAGTTCCCATGTTGTATGTGCTACATTCAGTCAAGAAGGCCTCCTCCTTTCTCCAAATCGTAGTAAATTCATCTTGGTAACACCCTCGAGAAGAGCTTAAAGTTTCCTGCACCGGTCCCCTGTCTCTGCCCTGCAGTGTGGCATAACCTGGCAGTTTCAGACAATCCCTCTCCTCCCTGCGCCATGATACTTAAGATAGATCTTTCATCAGATTTCAGTTTCCTGGAGTTGACTGTCTTCTCCCGAGCCTGTCTTCAGAAACGGGGCCTGAAGTTCTTGAATACACCCCCGTGTCCAGAACGCATAGCCCTAGCAGAGCACCTGGTCTCCCAACAGACCATCGCGGCTTTTTGTGCTTCCCTGAGTGGATCCCTCCTGATCCCTCAGTTCCAGGACAGGCTCCTTACGTCCCAGGAAGTGTGGACAGTATCAGGAGGCTTTCCCAGTCTGTCCCTTGTTCATTGCGCACAAGGAAAATTCTGTCTCGGCTCTCTGCCTGCTGCTTGCTGGCTGCCAAGATTGCCCCTTTGGCCACAGTTGCTGCGGCAACAGCTGCGAGCCTGTGAATTCTCTTCCCGCCACCCGCAAGCCAGGGACCGTGACACGTACAATTTGTTCAGGCTGGCTTCCTCCACGTCATGGGGAATGAACAAGATGTGGGTGAGAAAGCATCTGCCTCCCCTGCTAAGTCTCCAGAAGTCTCCCTGGCAGGTTGCTGCCTCTGTTAGACGCTGTCCAGACACAGTCGTGAATTCGTGGCAGCAGACTCAAGAAGCAGCTTCTTTGCCTTTCAGAGAGGAGCCAATTATTTGGGCCCTTAGGACTGTTGCCTGGGGCTGAGCTTGGTGGCAGATAACGTGCAGTTAGATTCTCCTCTGATATTCCTTCCTCAGCCAGGGGCTCCTCTGCTCCGCTCCCAGGTTGGGGCCTCTTAACCTCCATGTTCTGGCACCACGCAGAATGATGAAGGACCCAATAAGGGTCCTTGGAAAGCTGCGCAAGGGGCTGTGGGTCCTCACCAAGTGCCACTATTGCCCCAATCCATTCAACAGGCGTCTCTTGAGCCTTCACTGTATTCCAGGCACCATTCCGCATGCTAGGGATACAGAAGAGAGTAAATCATTCAACAAATGAGTCCCTACTATATGCCAGACATGATTCTAAATACTGGGGATACAGCCATGAACAAAACAGATGAAGATCATTGCCCTTGTGGAGCTGATGTTCCAGTGGGGCTGAGAGACAATAAGCAGTAAGTATAAGAGGTAAATGATTTAGTATGCTAGAAGGCGAGAGGAGCCATGGTGGAAAAAAGAACAGCAGGGTCAAAGGGATCCGGGGTGGGCAGAAGGCAGTACTTTTTTTTTTTTTTTTTAAGATTTTATATATTTGAGAGAGAGAGAGCATGTGCGCACAAGCTGGGGGGAGGGGCAGAGGCAGAGAGAGAAGCAGGCTCTCCACTGAGCAGAGACTCGATGCGGGGCTCGATCCCAGGACCCTGGGATCATGACCTGAGCTGAAGGCAGACACTTAAGCCACTGAGCCACCCAGGCACCCCAAGCCTATTCTCTTTTAATCTCCCTCTCACCCTCCTCCCTCTCATGCTCTCTGTCTCTCATTCTCTCTCTCTCAAATAAATAAATAAAATCTTTAAAAAAAAAAAAAAAAACTGCTTGAAGAATATGAAATTTAAGGATACAACACCCCCTTTGTCTTTGCCATATCCTATTTATAGGTTGTTTTCAGAAAGCACTAATATGAAGATTCAGAATATCAACAGAAATGAATAAAACAAAATAACTTTTCATATTTGGGGCCTAAGAGATGACTTTTTACGCTCTGTCAGAAATATCACAAAGAGACATGCACACAGAAAGAGATGGTGGTGGCCCAGGAAGGCAGAAGAGGGGTTGTATTATTTCTAAAATAACATGTATATACCCATGAAAACATCATCACAATCATGGTGGTGAGCATATTGTCACTCCCAAAAGTTTCCTCTGCCCCTTTATAATCCCTTCTTCCTGCCCCACCCCCATCCCCATGCATCCACTGATTTGCTTTTTGTCACTGTAATTTAGTTTGCATTTTCTAGAGTTTTCTATAAATGAATCATTGAGTATGTACTCTTTTCTGTCTGATAGACTCTACAGAATTTTTGGAGATTCATCCATGTAGTTCCATGTATCAATAGGTCATTCCTGGGTTTTTTGGTAAGATAAAATCCACATACCATAGAATCCGCCCCTTTCAAGTATACAATTCAATGGCTTTAGTATATTCACAAGGTTGTGCAACCGTCACCACTATCTCATTCCAGAACATTTCATCACCTCTAAAAGAAACCCTGTACGGGGGTGGGGGGGGTGGAGGATGGGGTAACTGGGTGATGGGCACTGGGGAGGAGGGTATGTGTTGTAATGAGCACTGGGTATTATATAAGACTGATGAATCACAGACCTGTACCCCAGAAACAAATAATACATTATATGTTAATAAAAAAATAAAAGAAACCCCGTACCAATTAATACTCACTCTCCATTTTTCCCTCCCCCCAGGCCCTGGCAACTACTAATCTATTTTCTGTCTCTATAGATTTGTCTATTCGTACCAGTAGTGTACGAGAGTTCTATTCCTCCACATCCTCATCAGTTTTTGGTATGGTTAGTCATCCAGATTCTATCCATTCCAATATTTGTTTCTGGTATTCATTGTGGTTCTAATTTTCATAACCCTAATAAGCAGTGATATTGAGCATCTTTTCATGTGTTTAATTGCCACCTGTGTATCTTCTTTGATGAAGAGTCTGGTAAAATTCTTTGCCTCTTTTTTAAAAATGGGCTATTTGTTTTCTTATTGAGTTTTTAGAGTTCTTTATATATTGTGGATAGAGATCCTTTATCAGACAGATGCTTTGCAAGTATTTTCTCCCAGTGTGTGGCTTGTCTTTTCATTCCCTCAACAATGTCTTTTGAAAAGCAGAAACATTGGGGTGTGTGGGTGGCTCAGTCGGTTAAGTGTCTGCCTTCAGCTCAGGTCGTGATCCCAGGGTCCTGGGATCGAGCCCCACGTTGGGGCTCCCTGCTCAGGGGGAGTCTGCTTCTCCCTCTCCCTCTGCCCCTTCCCCCGTCATGCTTGCTCTCTCTCTCTCTCAAATAAATAAATAAATATCTTTTTAAAAAAGAAAAGCAGAAATGTTAAATTTTGATGAAGTTAAACATACTGATTTGTTATTTTTGGATTGTCCTTTTGATGTCATAGAAAGAGATCTTGGCCTAATCCAAGGTCACAAAGGATTTCTAGAAGTCTCATGGTTTTAGATTATACATTTAGGACTATAGTTAATTTTGTATTAATTTTTGGGCATGGTGGGAGGTACAGATCCAGGCTCGTTCTTTTGCATATGGATATCAAACTGTTCTAGTACCATTTGTTGAAAAGACTATCCTTCCTCCACTGCATTCCTATAAACCTTTGTCAAAAAAATATGAAATTTAAGGATACAACACCCCCTTTGTC